ATAAAGAACCTCCCTTAGATTATAATTATTTTCTCTTAACTTAAAAAATCCCATTTAAATACCAGCAGGAAGACTTTTGTTTCTAACTTTATATAGTATTTCTAGTGTTCAGTGGTTCCCAAAGTTGGGGTCGTGACCCAACTGTGGGTCATGAAGCATCCAGTTAGGGTCCCTGGACAATCTCCACACATCAAATTGAAGGTACACAATGGTGATGTCATATTTTTCCTATAATTGTTACAAAAAACACACAAAATAGACACAAACTAATAAAAATACTGTGTTGTAAAAGTTTTGGATTGTCAATAAGCCCATGTTTATAGGGTTATTAACTAAGTTTGTGTTCTCAGACATTCTGCCACAGATATTTTATGGGTCAGAATGTGAGAAGTTCGGGAACCACTGAACTGTATCAAGTTTTAAAGCAGAAGACCTTGTAAAAATGGATAGAATTTAAAAACAACATTATGTATTGATCTAATTACTCATTTTTTGAAGTGTAATTATTGGGTCTATGTTATTTTTATATGCACCTTTTTGTTATAAAATTTTCTTTCCATGAAAAGAAAACTTGTTCTATTTTACAGAGAGGGGAGAAAATGACAGCTGAGGAGGTGAACGCTATTTGTTCATTAGCAGACTTCTGTAAGGATGGAAAACTGGATTATACACAGGTAAGCAGACAAGTAAAGTATACTGTACCTAAAGCCACTTTGTTGTACAGACTACCTTTAATATGGGGGTATTTTTATGCCCAGATTGGTAAAAACGGTTATTTTAAATACTTTGTATATCAGAAATTCAACCCAATAAGTGGATCAATGTGTTGCCTTTACTCTCAAACATCATTTTGGGTAACGGGGTAAATAAAATGGCCGTTCATTGCAAGTTAATATCATCCAGTATCTTCCGTCTTTATGTGCTCTGATGTTTTGTGGATATGGTTGTTTGTTCTACACACTTCTCTCCATCCAWAAACTGTATACTTTTGTTCTTTATTTATCGGTTTGAAACAACGCCCGCGTGTCATTCTCGTTCCAGTTCTGCAGATTGTTTGTTTCRACAGTGCAGCAGTGTCAAACGGCTGCTTTGGAGAAGCTCGAAGCTGACGCCAAGCTGAAAAGGCAGAACTTTGGCAGTCAGTCGTACAGCCCTCCGAAGGCATCGCCGTCAACCGTAGAAGCAGCTCACCCTGCGGAATCRGGCTCGACGCTTAAGAAAGGTGCAAAATATCGACGTTTAATTATCTTAAATTCTGCCTTTAAGTACTTGTGTGCTCTATGAAATATATCTTTGTGTAGCATTTCTGGTGTTAGATATTCCCACTGCCCCAGAACGCCTTGATGATTGGTTCTGATGAATAAATAATAGCTCTGGTATTGATCAGTTTTTCACCATCGGCGGACAAATCACCCCACTTGGCAGTCCATACATCATAACAGCCACACAATTAGGCCAGCTTGTTTAGAGGGAGGAGACATCAAAGTGTTTTGATTTGTGTAATCATTTCTGCCATTAAGCAAWTGACAAAAGCTCTGACTACTCTGTGGCTTTTAACTACTTGTTAGAGATCCACTCTGGGCTTCAGTTTCTACTCGACATGAGTAATCGTTACGCCCTAACTTACCGTAGTTATGCTTTTGAAAAGGATGTAAAGATCCACGGTTTTTAAATTTACAGCCCAACTGTTGAAGAAAGACTCCGGGACGAGGGACAGGCCCACATCGGGAAGACAGATGGGGTTGATTTAAGTGGTCGCTCCATGTTCTTGTTATTGATTWGGAGGATTTCACCACTTCTCACCGGGGTGGTTAGAGAGGAGGCACAGTCAACCACCGCTGCAAAAACAAATGATCTCCCAAGCAKTAGTCAGGATTATCACATTACTGTGTCTCGCCCATGTATTGATTTATACCTGTTAGATTCAAACAGAGCTTTGACACGAGATGCTAGTAGGGGTTACTCCTACTGACTTCAATTTGTTTGTTAAAACCAGTTTGGTTCAGTAAATTCAACATTTTATTTCTTAGAGAGTGTGTAAAAGTAGGTTTACTTTTCCTTTCCCGATTTTTGTGAACAGTTTTATGACTTTTACTTAAAGGGGCAATATCATGTAAAATCAACTTTTTTGAGTTTTATATCATGTAATAATGTTATACTCTCATAAATAAAAACA